TTATCAATATATGTGTTTAAATAAACAAATAACCCTTGATCATTAATAACTAGTACAGTTCTTTTAGATAACTAATCTGAAATCCAGTTATTTAGTCAAGTTATTTAAATCAACAAGGTCATAAGGAAATAGATGAGTATACTTTATAAGATAATATATCATTTTAAATGATATTGTTGATTCGATTGAAACATTAAAAAGAAATAATTACTAACAAATTTATCAGTAATTCATGTAAGTCAATGGAAGTATTGAGTAAGTATTGCTCTTTTTCGAAAATGAATTACTCACTTTTACAGACATCTTGTTCTAATAAATACTGTTACCACTAAAGAACAATGTAAGCTATAATTATCTTATTAGTAAAAAGAAATATCTATGTATAGTGTATAGGATTTGTGAAATCAATGAACATATACCGGTTATGATAATTGGGTGAATATTAGGAATAATTTTATGGAAAATTATTGTATATAGCGAGTAGATGTTTAAGTGTCTGTTTGCTATTTTCTTACTTCGGACTGGAATATTGGGCTATAGAAGAATGGGGGAACACTCTGTGGTAATAGGCTTTAAGAATTATCTCAGTCATTTTTCAAGGTAAATTGCTGTCAATCAGAGTGTGCAACTAGTCTCAATACCAAGGTTTATGGTCCATGCGTGAAATGTTTACTTGAATTAGAGAAATGTATTGATGGACTCGTACTCACTGATGAATTAAATGAACATATACTAAAGTTTAAGCTTATAACAACAGTACTATTGATTACTGTTGAACAAAACAATTAAAAGTCTAGGATATTTATTTTTTATAAAAATCATAAATAGATATCATTTGGTTTTTGGCGTTAGCTTTCATCAAGAATCGACATCCTCTGTAGGATGGTTGAATATATTTACTCGAAAGAGGTTTGATTCTATTTGTGGTGTTCAGAAGGTATGTTAAATATAGAAAAATATAGCTATCTATAGTTTCATTCCTATGAAATAAACGATTGTACAAACAATATTTTCAGTAAAAAATTGTTCAAGATTTGCTTGACTTTGCTTTAACAATCCTATTTCTAGGTTGATGATTCCCTACAAAGAAAAAAACTCAGTCAGGGTTTCTATCGACAGTTTTCAACTATTCAGCTTAATGATATTCTTTGTTAGTTAATCCTATAAATCAATTTGAAAAACATGCATCATTTTTATTCCCTACTTCTTTGTTCTGTTAAGGTATTTTCAAATATTCACTTCTTTATATATCATACTTTCCAAAGGGGGTTTGTACTGTAGAATTGGAAATGAACATTTAAAATGTGTTTATTGAACGGGCTAAAGTTAATAAGTATTGCTAATATGGAAATGAAATCAATCTTCACTGAGCTTTATAAAGTATGTTTAGTTGGGTAGGTCAAGTAGATTACTTTCTGTCACTGAATGACATCAGCTAGAAAAGTAGAAAGTTCCTAAGTGCTATAAACCGTAGTTTCAGCCTAAATTAAAACTCCTCGAGGTGAGTTATGTTGAATATGAGGGCTGTTCATCTCAGCTGCGTAAAAATAGTGCGCTCAATACATGACTTGAAGGCTGAAGTGTCCCATTCAGGAACTTAACAGCCTCACAGACCTTCCTGATTTTTAGTGGTGATGTAAACCAAGAAACATAAGGTCGGTTTGGCTGAATTACTTTTTTAGATTTCTAATAAAGACAGTATGAAAAAATATATGGTTAACCACTAACTATGTCGTTATTAAAAATAAAGGTAATTGTTTTAGATTGTTACAGGTAACCAACAGGGCTATCTAGACAAAGGTTTCGTGTTAGTTTTGACTCACCAACAAAGTGTATTTTCCTGACTACTCACATTCGAACCAGTGTCATCTGTTGTCACGGTCCTTGATCTAAACACTGAACTAGTTGATCATAAAACATTCTATAAGTCAAACAACATTATCTGCAAAATGCTTTCAAATGTATTATATCAATTTCAATGGTTGAGATCATGAACCGATTGAAACTAGACCACCATGAAAAGCTCAGAAGCACTGGACGGCCTTTCCATCCTATTAAGGAACTCCTCAGCAGTGCGCATCCACAATCCCACCTTGCGAGATTTAAATCCCAGGACCTATGACTCAACCATTGAAACTACTATAATAATATCCACAAAAACCCTTCTGATATGTATTATATCGGTTCGAATTTCAACCGAATATCGAGTCACTTTATGTTAAGGTTTCATTTTGAACTAACTCAAAACCTATACTGATAATTACCATGTGTTCACTTATGACTAGCACCGTGAGGGAATTCTCGGGGTTCTAATTAGAAGCCGCGACCAGTGAAGCTAATCCGTGTCGGGTAGAGACAGGTATCTACCTCAGAACAATGAAAGATGGTCGCGCAATTTCATGGATTGATGTTGGACACTAACATCATTGGATGACAACCAGCTTAGTGGTCCAGTATGTTAAGCGTTCGTGCACGAGACTGAAGGCTCTATGTTCGAACCCTGCGATCGGAATCGTGGATTCGTATTGTCAAGAAGTCCCACGATTAGGCGGAACGGCTGCCCAAATCTTCCAAGATTTCCATCGTGGTCTAACATCAATCGGTTCATGATCTCAATCAAAAATTAAATTGAAAGAACTCGATCAACTGTAAGGAATATGAAACTGAAGACAGTTTCTTTCCTTTATTTTTTTTAAACCAAATAACTATGAAAGATCATTCACTAATTCATGTTTACATTTATCCACATAGTTGCAATTGAAGAAAATCATTTATTCATTTGTTTATTTTTCATTTAAAGGTCAAGGTTATCCTACCGAAAATAAACACATATCTCGAAGCCTTTCATCCTATATACTAAAATACAAATAAAATAGCACAAAAAACGAATACTAATACATTGTGCATAGTATTAAACATGAACAATGTTATTCGGAAGAACAAAAAAAAATACGATATGCTGTCATATATGCACACAAATAGTGTGGGTTTATATTAATCAGATTTATCTGTACCATTTATTGTTATTCCCCTTCTATAAATTATTTGACTGTTCATGGAAGAGAAAACACAAAATACAACCTTTTTATTCATGCTGCTTAGAATGAATTAAAGTAACCGAAATTAAGGTCAGGTGATATATGTATGTATATTGAACAGAACAGGTACACATTAATATAAAAGGAATGGATATTTTGTGTAAATGACTATCAATATGTATGTTATTATCTTCATTCATTAAATTGTCTTATATTGAACATCAAAAAATATATTGGTATACTTCAGTTATTTATATATAAATTGGTACATGTACTTGGATAGAACTAAATATAAGTGAAGTAACAAGTTATGAGTGACTTACCATGTATACACAATGAACACTAATAATAAAAAGACAACTGTTAGTATATAAATATACACTAGAGGGGGTGGTGGTGGTATTTTTTGTATCTATGACTGTATTCATTTTATGTATGAATTGATAAATAGAAAATAAATAGAACTAGATACCATTATATTCAAATGAATAAAGTACATACAAAAAAAGCAACAAAAAAATGGAACCAAAGAGTATATGAGAAGGAAAGAAAGGAAAGGAAAGGAAAATAGATATATGACTACAACAGTATAGAAAGTGAATGAGACTTTCATATATTTTGAAGTTAGACATTAACACCATTGGATGCCGGCTCAGTGGTCTAGTGGTTAAGTGCTCGCACGCGAAGCCAGTAGGTCCTGGGTTCGAATCCCGTGAGGTGCGGGGTCATGGATGCGCACTGCTGAGGAGTCCCATACCAGGACGAAACGGCCGTCCAGTGCTTCCAGGTTTTCCATGGTGGTCTAGCTTCAATTGACTCATGATTTCAACTTGTCAAGAATAGTATGTTAAATATTTGAGGATGATGAAATTAAACCTTAATCAAATGATGAAGTGATTAACTGCTAATATGAATCATATCAGAAGACTCAAATATCCCTAGTTTATATTTACCATACTATGGTAATTTATACCTAAAGATAGAAAATTGATTGGATTGTCAAAAATTCATCCAACTTGTCTTGTTGTAAATAATGAGTATTGTATTATTATTTCATGCAATTTACTTGATGATTTTAAATTGGTATTAAAATTATGACTGATATGGTTTTTATTGAGATTATAAACCAATCAGTGTTAGATCACCAGCAGTGAGCATCCATAATCCCGCACGCGGAACTCGAACTAAGGACCCATACTAGGACGAATCGACTGTTCAGCGCTTTCAAATTTTCAATGGTCGTCAACCATTGATCGGTTTATGATCTTAGTTAAAACTCAACAATATCCATAATATTATGCTGATGATTTGTTTTTATCATCCTAACTTCCCCGATTTGTATGTTGATATAAATTGTAATGCCGTGAAATTAGTGAATAACATTCAGATTCAACCTTAAACGTTTCATTCAACGTGGTCTATATATAATCAGAATGAAAGGGGTAAATGTTGATTTTAATTATTTAGTCACAATACTTGTGGAACTACTATAAACCGGAGGAAACATTTAAAAACTAGATTTTCCGTAGTTTGTAGCTCATTAGTAGACAGCGCTCATTACGTCGTAAACTATAGTGTTTAAGAGATTTAATACTAAGACAGATACAAATGGTTTATTATGGTGACTATGTATAGTCAGTTGACAGAAGTATGAAATGTAGATCATAGAACACCTATTGATTACTGACCAAGGAACATGGAATTCGAGGGCTTGTTTACCGTTCAGTTTGTTCGTACACGTAAATGATATGTTTCAAACTAGAACAAAGTGACTTTTCTATGATTCTCCCATTTCAATTATTTGGTGTGCTGTATCCATCCTTGATTAAGGCAAACATTAAAATGAACAATTCTCATACTTTGTCTACTGTAACAAAAATTGGATGACAATTAAATTGTGTTACAGTAAGGAACAAAGTCGTCTCAAACAAAAATGTCATGTTTTAAGAAAAGATATCTTACTTTTAACACCATTGTTATGTGTTTGAATTCAGACGGTTCGATATTCAATCTTGTCACAACTGGACTTGCACTAATCGAATGATCTGGTGAATTTCGTCGACTTAAACTAACTAAACTCCAAAATATTCTTGGTGCAACACGTCCAGGTGAATTAGACTGAGGTTTGGTAACACGAAATTGTAATTTGTACACTTCAGTTGCTGAACTAAAATGTAAGAGAAATTAAAACAGAGATTAGTAAAAATCCACAGCAGTATATAGAGAACTGGTGAAAAAAAATGCAAACTATGCTACAAATGTATTAATTCCTAATATGCAATATAATTATAGTGAAATGAACAACCGGTGAGGCTATAATTTACGGACGACCTTTGAGCGACGCTAGACTGACCTTGAGTGTCCGCTTAATAAACAGGACCAAATGAGGGTTATGAACCTGTGTAAGGAATTATAATTATAATTTACAGTTGATGATTAAGCTTAAAAATTAAATTTCGGGTTTTCATCACGAACTGACATCAGCTATAATGCCAAAACTCTATTTAGTCAAATGAATGAGTGAATTTCGCGCTAAAATCCGAGATCTATTATCTTATACCTGATTGGTTCATTCATAAATTATAGTCTCACTGAACAACGTATTCCTTGAATAAGTTAAATGCTATTCGAATTAAATAGATCATTTTTACCTGACCTACCAACAATTTCCATTGAGTTTTCGATTGAGATCATAAATCGATTGATGTTAGACCACCTTTGGAAACCTGGAAGCACTGGATGGCTGTTTCGTCCTATTGTGGGACTCTTCTGCAGTGCGCATTCACGATTCGAGACGTTTACATATAAAATAAGTTGAGTTAATTAATATCAAATCCTGTAATTATACTACCTTGATTATAATTGAATAAGTCATAATCATGTTAATGGGTATGAATTTTTGTAAGTATCTACTTGTTCCATAGCATAATTACTCTATTTCATGTCATAAATGAATGAAAAAAGTTTTATTCAGTTTCTCCTAATTTTCTCATATGTATTAAATGAATTTGAACTAAAATGCTACTACTTTTGATTAGATTCTTCGTCATATTATTATCTTTTTATAACCATTCTTGATTAAATTCTATCGATCATCATCATCAACAGTGAGTCAAAATGTAACAGGTCAAACTAGAAACTTTCACCTTGAAATTTGAAGGTAGAGTCTGATGAAAGTGTAGAATCTTTAGTAGATATTGTTGAAGACTTTCGGATGAACATAAAATAACTAGTTAGGACAATTAGTTTTCCAATTATTCTACAGAGGACATCAATTTGTGAGTAAAATTATTAACTGGTTTAATTAATCTCATCAAACTACCGAAATAAACAGAAAATAATTGAAATTAGATGTAAGAAGATCAAATAAATGATTCTTTCTTTCAAAGCACTTATTGTTCGTTAATGATTTGATGTAATAATGTAAGAAAACTAGTTACATCAAATATTACACTGGTTTTTATCATAAAAGTGCTTATTGTAGAAATATAAATCTACCTGTATTTTGAAGATGGATTAGATGTAACTAAATCTTCTCTGAAACGAGCAACGATTTCAGTTACATTACGTTTTGAACTGATTACACTTCTATGGAATACATCCCACATATTATGTGATCTTATGTCATTTCTTTCAGAAGATCTACTAGTTGGTCCAGTTTGAGTATCAAAGAATTCTTCAACTTCTACGGAAGAACTTGTATCACCATTAGTTGTTGATGATAAAGATACTGGTGATGATAATGATGGTGACGATGAAGGAGATATTATTGAATTCACACCAGCTGGCCAGATTACACGAACAAATTCAACATAAGTATTGGATGGTATTTCACATCTACATTAAATTCGATTTCAAAAAATCAATAATGTTATTGTTGAATAAAACAAACTAAATAAGGTGTATATTAGAAAAATTGAAAATTCCTATTATTATTTATATCAAACAGAATATAATTGAAGATTAGTGGTGAGGATGGGTGGATAGTTGTATGTTTCAATCTAATATATGATTATTGACCTCATAAAAACTTGAGCTCATAATTTTCTTGGCTCTTAGTAGGCGCACTACCTATGAATCACTGAACTATAATCTAATAGTCTACATTTTGTACTTCAGTTAATTAACAACATATTTGGACTAACAGCCAAGGATTTGGTGATTACTGAATCACTCCAAACATTATTGAAGTATAAATGTTTGGACCTTTTAGTAAAATCTCCAGAAATTTGTTTCAATATTATTCATTTATAACTAAACAATTATATTAATTGATTAGACGGTTTTATAAGATTAATTTAATTTATAGGTAAGATTACTTAATATGGACACACATTGAGAAAAGCTCCCAACTGCGTCACAAGGCAAGCCCTCACTTGGAATCCTCAGGGTCAAAAGAGAACAGGAAGACCAAAGAACACATTACGCTGAGAAATTGAGACAGACATGAGAAGAATGAACAACAGTTGGATAGAACTAGAAATGAAGGCCGAGGACAGAGTGAGTTGGAGAATGCTAGTTGGTGGCCTATGCTGCACTGGGAGTAACAGGCGTAAGTAAGTAATTACTTAATAGAATGAATTTCCTTTGCATACAATCTAATGTAATTATTTAGAAGTATAAGATAAAGTGAAAAAAGAGACAAAAATATGCGTCGAAGTGAAAATAAGAGGATCTATGGAAAACTGAATACATTGGGTTGCAAAATGTTTTCATGTACACAGACGTGGCTCTAAGTTAACTATAGTAATGCTTTAGCAGGGTGAAGAATATATATGGACTTGTGATGGATTAGATTTAATCATATAAATAATACTGAATGATAAATTCGATACTGTGGGGTTTAAAGTCGAATACGTAGAGTAAGATATAAGTTTATGTTTTGTACTTTACTGATTCATCACGGAAAATGATCTCCAAAATGTTGATAAACGAGACTAGTCTCTATTGCCATTCAGTTGCTAATTGTATTTATAGTCTAATCGAACCAATAAAAATTTAAGTATATAATTATACTTCAACGAGATTCTTTGAATTTACTAACTACATAGTTTAATGATGATATTTATGACTGGAATATTTGGTGATAGGAGTTCGAATCTTACGTAGAACATCTGTTTTCTGAAGACCACATATATTTCATCGCTAAAAAGTCCCAAATGGAGTAAACCTTAGGATTAATGGCTCTATCCCTATCCCTCCGCCTCAATAATCTAACATGTAGTTATGGGAATTTTACGGTTTTCTTATATATAATCTATTTACTTCTTAAAATGTCACTTACCGAAACGGTAAGCTTTATTTGTGATTACATTGATATGGATAGATCTAATATGGATTTATCAACATTCTTATCGAATGACCGAATTATCAGTTGTACTTGAAATGTTCAGTTCATTTTTAACAGTATGATTTATAAACAACGAGCTGATGTTATTTTAGAGTTATCTTTAGATCTCTTACTAACTAAATGTTAATTCACTGAAGATATCAACTAAGTACCATTCATTCATTCATTTTCTCAGTTCACTTACATAAAAGTAGAAATTACTGGACTATTAGAATATCCTGAAGATGCCGCAGGTATTCGGGGTTGACAATGCTTTAACCAGTAACACCTTCTATTATGATGACGTGTACCCACCAGTGAAATCAAAAGACAGAGGAGAGGAGGTTCGAAGATATATTTGATAGGGTATCAATATATCGAGGATCGTCTGATCTAATCTAACTAGCGATTGCAGGGGTTTTTGAGCACGACGTTCCCACTCGTGATCTTGTGCGGATGCATGACCGAGAGCCTTCAGCTTGGTGAGTCCATTAAAACATGTGGTCAGCATCCAATGTCAAAAACTTACAGGGCTATTTTTTTAGGGGATTTATTTACCGCTACAATTCACTTATAAGAACTCTTTATAATATCATGAATATAAATTTCATTTTATATAATCTTAACTTACTAGACAACACAAAATGTATGATTTATTCGAATAATTTAAGAATGTTAAACACTTATCAGGAACATAATATAAAGTAAAAGATGAAGTTGCTTAAAGTTAAATTTTATAGATGATAATAGTAAAGATATATGTTTCATTCAAGATTATTAAATTATTGGAATGAAAAATACTATATAAACATCTTTATGTACATAACATTTAGCTAAACTTTCTAATGTAGTGAACAATAACATGAATGGGGACAATCGAATGTATTAGAACACGAAATTACAGAGCATCTCACTAAAATCTGAGAAGCATATAGTGTAAACAGTTAATTTGTAAAGCATTAACCCATCGTCTCAAACTTCACTGTTCCGTTTGCAAATATCAGTCCGTTGTCTCAGATTTCATTGTTCATACATTTTCATACCCACTGCGTTCCGATTCCGTTCTTTCCTTATCGATCTTCTGCTGAAACACATTCTATGCCTGACCACTGTTATATACTACTTATATGGATATAAGTAACCGATACCACACTAACCTTTTTTATAGAAAGTAACTGATTATGAAACATGTTTACTTGATATCTAAACCTAATTACACATCCTAAATGATATTTGCTAATAAGAATCTGTATTACTAAACAGTTAGTGGTATACTTAATTGTTGTGTATTTCAATTTCATTAATAATTGTTTCAAGATACGAAAATTAAAAAAGCCCTCAAATGCCCTGGTACGGCCGAGAGTGGGGAGAGTCAGTTCTACCTCCCGAAATGCTTTCATATGGCCACGTGCATACAACCACTGACAGGTAACACCTACTCACTGCCTTCTCGCACCAGTGGTGTTGATTACGATTGACTCATGAATACATTATTGTAAATAATGATTCTTTTATAAACATTATTATTCATTTACTTTTCACAATATTAACCATCATGCAAATGTTAGATTGCATGTTTCAATGAAATTATATTTTGCAATTGAGAATTGAAAGTAAATAAATATTGTAATGATCAAACTAAGGGATTATTATAAACATTGATTTACTAGAAATGTTTTGTATTGAAAACATTCTTATATGATTTGATTCGGTAATACATGGAGAACCTGAGTACATTACGAAATATATCAGGAGAAGTGTATGATTAGTGTATGAGGATAATTCTGTGTATTCCTGAACATTAGATCGCCCATAAATGCTCTGCTACCATCGAGGTTGAGGATAGTCTGCACTCCCTCTGCACTCGAAATGCTCTCACATGGACACGCGTATACAGTCACTGTCAACGAACTCCTACTTACTGCCTTCTCGCAACAGGGGTGTTGTTTACGAACTTGAGAGTACGGAAAGCGAATATCCGGAGCTTTAATCGGGTTGATGGATATGGAGGATCCACCTAGGGAAGTTGGAAAACCCTCATTCCAAATCAATGGTGTACATGGGTTCCAGGATCCTGAGTAAACAAATGGTGTATGAACCAATTATTGGTCACCGGTTATCATGGGACTGCATCTCCTGACGTTGTTCCGTTGCCTTGTGTATCAGGCCTTTAGGTTGAAGGCTCTGGGTGTGACACTCTAAGAAAACCATCTGCCTTCGATTTGGGCATCCGGGTAGTATCCCAACCCTCACACAAACTGAGTGATTTGTGTGGCGCATATCTATTTTGTGCCTCCTTGTACCAATGTCAATGTGTTTAAATAGATAAATAAATAAGTAATCAGAAAAGAAGTTACTGATGAGGAAAACACATCAATAATATACTATTAATAGCCAACTGACTAGTGTTTTATAGAACGCTACAAACAGGCTAAAATAAAAATGTACTCAATGAATTAATTCAACTTTTTGTCGTATTTCTATAATTCTATTCACGTTAACATATTTTGTTAAAATTCAATCTAAATTATACATGTCAAATTGATTATCATTGGTTGATGTATATAATTCTTTTATGAGATAATTAAAGATAATGATGCAAGAATCCATGTTTAACATAATTCATCAAGAAATACTTATAGTTTTGAAGGAATTGAACTCTGCCGGTCACAAACCCGGATAAAGAAGAAGGGTTGGGCATAGGGTTAGCGACCCCATCCCGTAGAAAACTAACTCGCCAAAAAAAAGAACGCTAACCAGAAAAAAAATTATTAAAACCACTTTGAAGGAATTGATTTTTACTAGAGATTTGAATTCTATACTACTTACTATTAGAGTAATTAGATGTACTATTGAGAATTTTGAACATTGTAAGTATCTCATATTCTTATTAAACTATCATAGTCGTCTAGTTGTACCAGTTAGTATGTGGTCATTAAAAAAATAATAATAATAGTGATGATTTTAAGACTATATACTACTATTTGATAGTAAGAAAACTTTCAGTGGGCAAAATCAATACAAAAAAACTCAAGGCCAAAATAATAAATTATACAAGTATCTAGGTCATTTTCATAATGATTTTGTTCCAATAAATTCATGGTACAATAAAAGGTTGTTTTTTTTTTAAAAAAATACTGAACTCCTAGGAGAATACATTATTAAATCCTAATAAGAGAATATCCTATCCATGATGATAGTTAGTAATTATTATCAGAAGAGGTTTTGTGGAGATTTTAGTAGTTGAATTCATGAGTCAATTAAAGATAGACTACCATGGAAAAAGTGGAAGAACTGGACGGCCATTTTGTCGTAGTATGGGACTCCTCAGAAGTGCTCATCCACGACACCGTCTCGCGAGATTTGAACAAAGGACCTATCACTCTCGAGATTCAAGAAGTATGTCCTGGAGTTTTATTGAGAAGTAGTGACCAGTGGGGTTCAACCGGGTCTGTTGTGAGATAGTAACTCACTGAAGACAATGGTGTACGGTGGCTCAGTTTCGTGG